CAGGTCGGTTGTTTTACTGACAAGGTATTTTACATTTTCATCTATTTTAATTTTTTTTGTTTCTGTTTGACTGATTCTTGCTCTCTCATAGAGACATTAGTTTCCATTTGTCCAATTCTAGTTTTTAACAGATTGTTTTCTTCTGTTAGTTTTTGTACTTCCTTCTTCAATTGGCCAATTGTGTTTTTTAGGGACTTGTTTTCTTCAGTGTATTTTTTTTCCAATTGGCCAATTGTATTTTTGAAGGACTCTTCTACCTCTCTCATTTGACTATTAAAATCCTTCTTGAGCTCTTCTAAGAAGGCTTTTTGGGCTTCAGACCAGTTCATATTCCCTTTTGTTGTTGCAGATGTGGGTTTGTTGACAATGTTGTCCTCTTCAGAATTTCTGTCTTGATCTTCACTCTTCTCATAATATGAATCTATGGTATTTTCTTTTACTCATGGTTTTCTTTATTCCCTGGCCTTTAAAGAGATTGAGCTCTCCTGCTGGGGAACAGAGGACACTGACCCAAGCTTCTTGTGTTGGGAGCCTAGGTCTTGGTCACTGGCTTTGTGTGCTGGGGCCTCTTATGTTGGCAATTGGAGGCTGTAGGTTTCTGGCAGCTTACCTGTGTTGGGCTGGAATCAGCAAGGCTGGAACTTTCAGGCAATTCTAGGTTGCCTGCTTTTCCTTTCCTTTAGCTTTCTTCAGCTCCTTTTAGATGGGTGCTGCAGGGTGTTTATCTGCCTGGGGCCCCTGCAGTGTTGCTCCCTCATTTCTGCTAATGCACTGGGAGATTCCTTTGAAGTAGAGTGGTGAGGCACCTGGTAGTTTTCTGAACTGGTTTCCACCAGTTCTGCCGCCCTCACTGAGGCACTTGGAGGTCCAGGTGTTTGTTTTGCCTGCTCTACCACCTGGGCTTCAGGATTTCTTCACAATTGGAGGCTGCAGGGCTCCGACAGCTCACCTGGTGCTGGGTTGGAATCAGCAAGGCCCAAGCTTTAGGAGGCCTTTAGGTTGTTTTCTTCACCTCCTTTCAGATGAATGCTGCAGGGTACTTATCCACCTGGGGCCCCTTGTAATTTTGCCTCCCTTATTTTTGCTGAGGCACTGGGAAACCAGTTTGCTGGGCTGCTGCACTGCTGCTCCCCATCTTTCTTCTAGTTCAGGTGTTCTAGGGTTTTTTTTCTGGGGTGATATTTTCTGGGTTTTCAGAGGTTGATAGGGGAGAGTGCGAGCAACTACCTTTTCACTCCGCCATCTTGGTTCCCAGAACTTTTATTTATTTTTGATGCACGGTTTTCTAAACACTAAACTTGGACTTAGGAAGATATAGGTCTGAATCTATGTCAGGCACTTACAACGTATGTAACCCTATGCAAGTCACTTAACTGGTCTTAGCCTTAGTTATCCATCTGTAAAATGTGGATAATAACAGGACCTACCTCATACACAAAGACACACACACACACACACGTGTGTGCATTTATGTATGTATGTATGTATGTACGTATGTATGTATAGGATTGGTCCTGTGATTGGACTAGACCTGTGATTTATCTGGTATAGAGAAATACTCCTTGGATAAGGAAATTCTACCAATGCAAGTTGCTACCTTCCCTGCAATTTAGTCTTAAAGTGCTATCCAGAGAGCACTAAGAGGTTAAATGACTTTCCCAGGGTCACACAATTATTATGTGCCAGAAGGCCGAACTTAAATACAGGTCTTCCTGGTTATAATGCCAGCTTTCAGTGCACTAAGTCCTTCCTCTATGTCTGCGCTTGCTATATAATCTATCAATTTTTAAAATTTAAAAGTTTATGTAAGTGTGAGCTATTATCATTGTTGTTGTTATTATACTGTCCTGTCAGAGTATAATGGAACAAAACTGAACCTTTTCTTGGTGACTCAGGACATTATTATGAACCAATTATTCCCATTTCAATATCTCCTAAATCTGTCTTTGGAAGTGTGGAAGGTTAATTGCTGAAAACTATTATAGCTTCAGATTGCTAGGCAGACATTTTTGTCTTACTTGCATAGTTTTTCTGGCTCAGCACTTGCTAGCATTCAAAAGGATAAAAAGCAACCAGTAAAACAATATTAAATAAGATTGATTATAACAAAATTGTTTAAATTGATTGAAATCCAACATAAGTTGGGAAAAACAAGCATCATAAAGTAGGAATTAACCTCCACTCCCTCCAAGTGGTGTGAATGGAACAGTATTCAAATGAGGCAATTACCCAAATCAGGCTTATTTTTATCTTGAAGGCTTGCTTCCAACTACTCATACTACATTTTAATTTATAAGATTTTTGAGAGAAAAACAAAGATGCCTCTGAATCATCTAATTTATTTATTAAGGCTATTCATTTACATTTTCCACAACAGGATTGAGAATTTGAAAGCTCTTAGAAAGTGCCATTATTCCTCATTTTCATTAACCCTTGACACCAATTCAATAACCACTGGCACCAAGTCTCTGCTGAAAATAGCATAGCTACAATATATTCAATAGCATGAACATAAGGGAAAAAAGCAATACTGTCATACATAGGCAAAATATTGCCCTGAACATTAGCATTTCATAATAACCCTATCAAAACGTTATATTCAAAAGCCTACCTGATGTTTAAAAACCTTTCTATAATGCTGTCTGTCCAAACACTCTAGGAAACTAATGTTTTTGCCTTATATGACTTAACGGAACAAAATAGCAGCATTGGGTTTCCTGTACCTATACTGTAATTCTCTTCCTTGATTTCATCAGTTCCCACAGTTCTCCTGAACTTCAATCCTACATTACACCAATTTCCAGTTGGACAACTTCAGTGAAGCATCTCAAACTCAATATGTGTAAAAGAGAACTAATATTTTCCCTTATATCCAACCTTCTCTGGATTTCTCTATTTCTACTGCAGTCATTGCCATCTTTTCAGTCACTCGGGTTTGTATTCTTGAAGCCATCTTTGGCTATTTTCTCTCTACCCTCCTACAGTTAATCATTTGCCAAGACTTGTTAATTTTATCTCCAAACTTATCTCACAACAACTCTCCTCTTTCTATGCATATGAGCACCATATTAGTTCAGATCCTCATCAAATCTCACCCAGACTCCTACAATAGGTTCTGTGCTTCTATCCTCTCCCCAATGCAATAAATTCTCCACAAAGATGTCAAATTGGTATTCCTCAGTCACAGATCTGACCATATCACCCATTATTCAAAATCTTCAAAAGTTCCCTAATGTCTCTAGAAAAAAAAAAAGGCAAATTCCTCATAAGACCTAGCATTTCAATCTCTTCTCAGTCTGTCTTCCATCTAGTTTTTAGGCTTATTTCCTCTTCTTCCAAGTCATTCATCCTCCTTTCTAGTCCAGGGAGTTGGCTGGTCCGTGAACAAGACATTTTAGTTCCCACATACCTGAATGGACAAGTAGTTCTTTGTGTCTGGAATTGACTTTCTCCTTAATTCTGGGTCATGGAGTCCCTAGCTTCTTTAAAAGTAGAGCTCAGGTGACAATTCTTACAAAAAGGGCTCAGGTGACAATTTCTACTAAGTCTTTACTGATATCACCTATTTATTAGCACTCTCTGACTCTAGCAAATACTTTGTATTTATTTGAGGACATGTTGTACTCTCCCTGAACAACCCCCTCCCCCTTTATATGCAAGGTCCTTATAAGCAGGGATCATTTCATTTTTGTATTTGTATTTTCAGCACCTAGCAAAATACCTTACAAAAGTAAACACTTAAAAATGCTCCTGAATTGGACTGAGAACAAGAAAGACAAATGAGAGAAACTGCCACAGAACTATAAGGCTCTAAAGTTAACAATTTACTGTTTATTATTCTGTCTAAATGTGTGGATTTGCTATCTATATGAAGGAGATGCATCCACAAGGCCACCTAATTATACCTTCTTCAGTATAATGTGAATCTCTTCACTATGAACATTATCTTCTTCCTCCCTAATGGTCTGCCACGCTGATGAACAAAGGTTTCTAATTATATGTTTCTGATATGACTACATACAGAAATGGATACCATCTAATTTCCAGTGTAGTATATGAGACAGTGGGTTAAGTGATTCAAAGGAACGAGTCCATTTGTTACTGAAGAAAAGAAAAAAGAGCTGGTAGCAAAGTGAAAAGAAAAACGAATTAAGATTGTCAAGAAAATTAGAATCTCCTCCCAGCTTTGCCAGTAATGAGCTGAATGACCCTGGGCAAGCAAGTCACTTTAACCTCCCTGGGCTTCTGTTCCCTCATCTGCAAAGCCAGAAGCTTGAATGAAATGACCCTGCAGGTCTCTTCTAGCTCTAGAGCTTAGTGATCTTAGGATTTTAGGTCGGAGGGAGGATGTTTCTGTGGTTTTCTCCATGAAACTGTTCTCTCAGCTACCCGGAACTAAAACATTTCTAACACATACTTCTAAAATACTGTTTAAAAAAAAATCACATTTATGGTAAAAATTATGATTAAAAAAGAAATTACCTCATCATTTTAAATGCAGTTATGGTTGTATGGATTTATTCTTATAGAAAGCCATAATTTAATTTCAACTTCATTTTATGAAAGGCATCTCAGAGAACTGCGGCAACGACTGTCCCACTTTCTCATGTGTTCTTTAGGTAGTTCTTTTAGAAAGTCAAGTCTATTCTATTTCTAGCTGTGGCCAAATGAAAAATTGTCTTTCCTTGAGTAGATGGACTGATTAAATCATTTCACATAGAAGTTACATTCACTATCTTATTTCTGCAACATGTAACAGTAAATGGGGGGAAAACTGTTAAGATTTCTGAAATGATCAGATTTATTATTAGGCATATCCTAAAAATTTTAAAATAGCAAAAACATTAACTAACAAAGAATGGGATACAGGTATTCCAAAAATTGTGAGTATTTATAATGGTTCTCTATGTACTTTTGTTTATAAAAGAAAAATTCAGTAGCTTCTTAGATTTTTTTTTTTTATAATTTTAATTTAAGAAAATTAGGTAGATTATAAGTACCTCTGACCCTGTAAAGGATTCTACTATTGGGACACTCTTGTCCTCTACAAGGTAATGGAAAGCTAGAAAACAGACAGAAAAAATAGTCAATTTACACTAGACACAATTAGAAAAAAAGTTACACAAATAACAAAGAATATACTTACTCATTCCTGAGCACTCTCTATCTCCATCCCATACATTAGAAACAGCATGCCCAGTTAGTAGAAGGTTAATTAAACTCTGGCTATTTAACATAAAAAAAAAACCTATAATTAATAAACAAAAATCCAGCAGCAAACAACTATTTGTTTTGAATGAAATTATTTCAAAGACACATAACATTTAACTTTGATTAAATTCTTTGCATTGAATTTTGCTACCTTGGGGGGAAGGTGGGTGAGAAACGACTCTGAATTTCAAAATTTTTCATTTCTAAAATGTCATTTAATCATTAAAAATCAACACTGATAACTTTACTCCACAATGTATTCTGTCCTCTATATTCTATATAAATTTAAAACCCTTACCAAAGGTAGCATATTTAAGAGAAGAGAAGGCTGAATTGATAATATTTAATATTAAGCCCATTTACTTTCATTACTGAGTATCCAAATTATCTAGAAATACTAACTGAAGTTTCTAGCTTTTTATTTTTGATAGCATTATGAGCTGAATTCACCTATGTTGTCTTGAAAATAGGCAGCTACTACTGACTACATCAATGTATTGGAAAGGATTGATCTTTTCGCTCTGTTTTCTTTCCACATCTCTCAAAAATTATTTTGAATAAAGGAAACAATAAAGTGAAGTAAAGAATTAGTAAAACAGTAAAGGTTAGAGAAACAGAATGAAACTGCTACTGATTCCTACTTTTAAGAAGGGCTAAATTTTATTCAGGAAATAAACAAAAAATATTCATCTATGAAACAAAATAGAATTTTAAGAATCACCAAATTTCATTTTTCTAACGCAAAAAAAATTATTCTGTAAAATGTAAAGTATTTTAATATATTGAAGAAAACTTCATTTAATACTTTATACATAAGAAAATTAAGTCATAAAAGATTTATTATGTTCATTTTCATGTTCCTGAACAACACTGTTCCTAAAAATAGTACTGTTAACTAGATCCTACTAACTGTGTTTTATGTTAGGTCATGACTATATTAAGATATCTTAATTCATTACCTGCCATGTCCATATACAGGATCTATCAAAGGTTCTGTTGAATCTTCAATTTCATTTTTTATGTTTTCAATACCCTAAAGAAACCAATTATTACAATTCATTGGCATTTTTTTAAAAATTAGATTTAAAGTGTTTTACACTGATCAATCCCTAATATAAAATAAGCAAATAGGAAAAAAATAAATGCTTTTTGTAGTTGAAGACATCTCAAGTAAAAATAATGATGAAGTTTATTAGAAAGGAACACAAGTCCTAACATTATCTTTTTGTGGTCTATAATAGGTTCTGTGAACTGAGAAGAATAATTAGTTCCAATAAAGTATATTTCTCATGTTAAAAGAGTTAAATTATGCCCTGATTTTAAGAGATAATAGGAAGAAAAATTAGTTAACATTAATTTTACTTTTGGGGGGAGGAGGGCATTGGTAGGGAAAATATGATGTAGAAACTGTTTCCATTGAGAACACTGATACCGAATAGGAATTTAATTTGTTTTGTATAGTATAAGTATAAGACAGTTGTCTGGGGTCACTGAAAGGTTTGACTTGTACATGGTCACACAGCTCTAGTATATATCAAGAGCAGGGCTTGAACCCAGGTTTTCATAACATGAAGCCCAGTATTCTATTAGTTAGGACTCACAGCCTCTCAGTCTCTCAGTTTACTTACCTAACGTATCTATTGAGGCATACATTTGATTATGGTTTCAAAATGAAAGGTACCTAAATATCATATTTCATAAAACTTTATGTATTTAAAACACATACTAACTGTTTGTGGCAAAAGAATTTACCCACAGTAAAGGAAATGTTTACCATTAGCTATGCAGTAGAGTTTAAAAAAATGAAAGGGTTGATTCTGACCTTGTATTAACACAATTTTCTAAAAATACATTTGAATACTGTTTAAAAAAAAAGCATGAAACTTCCTAACCCACAAGCAGGCTATATCTATTTGTATAACAAGGGAAAACAAGATGCTTAACTTCTATAATTACACTGGTTACAAAAAGAAACTGATTCAGATAAAGTGCTCAAAGCAGCATGAAGATGTAGTTGGATTAGGCTAATAGCTCTCTGTAAAACTGTAATAACAGACCAATATCAAATGTATCCTGAATACCTCCAACACTCAAAATACTGCAGGAGGATGCAAATACAAAATAATCTTAAGGAGCTTAACTGATCACCCACAATGCAGAAAAGCATATGGCAAATACCAAATATGGAGGGAGAGATCACTGGACTCATTTGAGAAGGCTTCACATACAAAGGATCCCTGGGGCTTGACAGATAGGTAGAAATTAGGTGAAGCAAAGTTTTAGGCAGGGAAAATGTCATAAGCTCAACATAAGATTGTCCTAGTAGTTAAAAAAATAGGTCAATGAGCATAGTGTAGGGGGTTCATGTATGTGAGGAGTTGTGAGAGGTTTGAATGAAAAAGTAAGTTGGGACCACATTAGAAAGGGACTTAAAATGCCATGCTATGGAGTTGTTCACTCCTAAAGAATGGGGAGAATCATGATAAGCTTTTGGTCAAAACAGTAATTAGAAAAACCAATTTGAGGGCTGTGTATAAGATGGACTGGAGTATAAAGAGACTTGAGATAGGGAGAAAAGTGAGGAGGTAGTAACTGTAGTGGTATAGACCTTTACTAGGATGGTGGAAATGGAAATTAAAAGAATGGGGCAGATGCAAGAAATACTGTCAACAAATAATCAGTGGGACTTGCTGACAGATTCAATATTGGGGTTAAAGAAGAAAGTTAAAAAGGTTATTAAGGATCACTGTGGTTTTGAGCTTATGTGACTTGGAGAATGACTGGCAGAAATACAGTGGCCAGGAGGAGAAATTATTTCGGGGTAATGATAAATTCTATTTGGACTTGGGGAGTTACAGGAAATAACAGGATATTAAAGTTAAAATGATCAGAAAGAAATTAAGGATGAGGAACTAGAACTGGAGAAAGAGGACAGAACTTGAAGCATAAATCTGAGAGTCATCCATAAAGAAGTGATCACTGAACCCAGACAGAAACTAAGAAAAGAGAGTTTTAAAGAAGTGGTGGGGAAAAGACTCAAATGCTTTACAGAGATCAAAGAGAAAAAACAGTTAGAAAAAGCCTCTGGATTTGGTCATTAGAAAGGCAGTCTCCACCAGTGACTTCACTGTGGTGCCTGAGGGTGGGGAAGCCAACTCTTCAAGGAGTAAGTAGATGAGGATTTTTCCATATAGTATGAAGTAGAATATAGCTATTTCTAAACCTTAAAACAAAACCATCTAAACATTGGGACTAAGTAATATTCAACTCAGATTCGTCTCAAAAAGGTAAGAAAGTAACTGAATTGAAATAACAAAAGTCACAGGTATTACTTCTTAAACAAACCTTTGTTAGTATCACAGAATACAGAAAAAGCAATACTCCAAATTTGTTTGCCCACATGGAACACTGATCCCAAATAGCTTCTTTTAGTTCAGGAAAACTTTTGAATGACCTTTTGCTGGAGGAAAAACAAGAAATGAACATTAGTAATTTGTTCATAAAATAGTATAAACCAACAGTCAAAGAAAAGGCAGAATATTGAGATTTTAAATTGCTTCATATGTTTAAAAAACTATAACCAATAAGATACTGAGTTATTAAAAAGACTCTCTTAAAATCATATTCATTAGCACAGATGAGCTGACTATTTACTTAACATATGGAATTAAGTAAGACTGAAATCCTGCTTGGGAGGAACCATCTCTGTATCTCTCACCTATGCATTATATAGGCTGGGTAATGTCTGGGATTAATAACATTATCCAATAATATATGTCTTAAAAATACAATTTAGAAAATAAGGTAGCTTTATTCTGAGGCAATTGAGTAGAATCTTGAATTTCTGATAATGAAAATAATAATAAAAAAAATTTTGCTAGGCAATATGAAGTGGTCAAAAACAAAAACAAAAAAACCTCTTCTTTCCTGAAGTTTCCTATAGTCATGGAATCACAGGTCTAGTTTAAAAAAATAATTGAAATAACCTGAAATATTCAAAAAAAATTTTTTCATAGATATGAATATGAGAAACTAAGTCACAACTGAGCTAATTTCAAAGAAAGTGACCTCTAAATTGTGATCCAAACTTCACCTTAGTAAATTCTAAAAAGGAAGCATGTCTACTCTTTTATCATGTAATAATGAGTTGAAAAAATAGTTCTATAAAGAAGTTAGGACCATATAAATCTTTCCATTCTCTTAGGGTGAGGACATTTGTTATTTAGCATTAATTATATTTTTCCATTTTCCTTATGAAAATAGATTTCAATGAATAAAATATGTTTAGATACTTAATTAGGATTTGGGTAAATTTTAATATGTCAGTACATCACGATTTTCTATCCTTTAAATACAACATGAAAAAAATTATCCTGAAAGTATTCATTTAAAATCCACATTCAACAGTTTCAATACTATGATTTTTAAGCACCTTTCCCCTTTTCATAGCATGAATGAACATCAAAAAGTAATGCGCCCACAAGATAAGTATTTTAAATGTTCCAATGTATTACTTACTGAATTAATGAATGAAACCGCTCAAAGCCAAGCTCTTCGACAGCCAAGGCAGCTATACATAAAAGACACTTTTCAGCACTACACATGGCAAATAAATGACACAAGATACACACAGCAAGCTATAAATATTTTCAAGCTTCAAACCTATTTCCTTCCCCCTCTTAAAGTTACCAGTTTATCTTCAGTTTTATTATCATATGAAGAAAAAAACACTTTGGCATTTAAATTATTGTGATTAAAATTCAGATATTTTTGACACAAATTACAAAATAGTGATAATAACATTTCCTTTTAATTAAGCTAAGCTACTAGGGCTTGCAGAATGGGTAAAAATTTCAGGTAGCATTTTGTCCAATTTATAATTGTAAGCATAAATTCTGATCTGTAAATTTTTTAAATATGTGTTAACTAAGTTACACCTTACAGTCAGCTAAAAAAAACCACTACTTTTTAAAGAAAAGCAACTATCATCATTTTGCAAACATAGGATTTCTATTTTTAAAAGTTATCTAACACTCAATTTAGTAATAAGACTGCTTTTAAAAGTTACTTCTGATATCTTTTAAATTGTCATCCATTGCAAAATGACCTTTCGTTACTATTTTTCCTTTATCTTATTAATTGTTGGTGTTTACATGCCTCAAATGTCTAGAAAAAAACAGAGCATTCTGAGTCTATACAGGTTCAACAACTGTGTTAGATCTGTTTCCTTGCAATTATTCATACAACTTTTGAGTGCTTTTGTCAGTTTACCTCTTTAAATTGTATTTTAAGAATATGCGAATATAAACAAAAAACCAAAATAATTAAGTAAAGGGAAACAATGTCCTCCAGCATCCTGTGTCAACGGAAAAAATGCCTCATTTAATTTAAAATGAATAAGCTTTAAATTCCAGCATTTAAAAAACAAAAAAGAGCTAACCAGACAAGGTTTCTCAGTGACTAGCTATGAAAATTACTGCTGATTCATTCTGAATTCACAGTTTAAACCTGACCTGAAGTTACATTTGGATAAGACTTTAAAATCTTGTTTTCTTTTGAAAAGACAAATACTTTAGATATTTTAATAAATAAGTAGAAAGATTCATTCATAAATCAAATATATCACTTATGACAGAAACAAGTTGTAACTGAACCTGAGACTCTAATATTGCAAACATGTATGCATTTACTAACAAGCCACAAGTATACACCACATAAGCCACTGAAACTGGTGTGCTTACACAAAGTAAAATATGCAATTCAGAACAAAAACCAAACAAATAGTTCATACTAAAATGTTAAAGATTGTGTTTCATTTTCTACAAATATGACTAATTCTGGTGACTGACAACCCCAATGTTTTTTATTGGGGTGTGTCCCATGAAAGCAGACATAAAAAAGTTAATTTAGAATAAAGTGTAAAGCAAAAAAACCAAAACAAAACACAGCTTAGCAGGCAAGAATAATGGAAAGGTACTACAGAAACACAAGAAACAGAACAAAGCATAGAAGAAGGAAAATAACAGGCACAAGAAAATATTTATGATGAAGTAATATTTCACATAAAAGTCTAATTCACTTTTAAGCATCTAAGATACAATTTCAAAATTTCCTGATAAAAGCAAATATAAAAACAAAAATAACCCCACATCCCTAAAAACAAACCCTCCAAAATTTGGGAACTATTTGTAAGGATATAATACTATCTTAACTTTTTTTTTTTAGGCAATTGGGGTTAAGTGACTTGCCCAGGGTCACACAGCTAGTAAGTGTCAAGTGTTTGGTCTGAGGCCACATTTGAACTCGGGTCCTCCTGGCTTCAGGGCCAGTGCTCTATCCACTGTGCCACCTAGTTGCCCCTACTATCTTAAATTTTTAAAAAAAGTATAGTTTCAATGAACTATAATGAGCTATAAGTTTTAAAATGAGGCAGCAAGTATAGTTATCAATTTACTGCATAGAATACTTCAGTATGACAACACATATCTTAGCACTCATATGAATTAGCCTCATGAAAAGAATATATTTGATTAATGGTCATTTAGGTAGGTTATGTTTGAAATTAAATACTTTGAATACTCACATACCATCTGTACCTCAAACTAAGAATACTATATTAAGTATTTAAATGATCTTTATATGTACTCTATAAAGCAATATACATAATTGTTTCAAAAGAAATCATAAGTAGGCCTATTATTTTCACCCACCTAATGAACACTAAACACACATATCAACTACAAAAATAATTCGAAGGGCCATCTTTCTAATAGAAATAGGAAATATCTTCTTTTCATTAGTTTAATAGCGAAAGGCTTTATTGTAAATGCACCTGGGCCAAAGACATAACTAATTAACCAAGCTCATCATATTTTAATTTTAGAATTGAAACATGATAAAGAATTACACTAAACAGCAGTCATAATTCAGTGGGATGTGATTATGAAAGAATCAGGATGGATGTCGCAAGGATAAAAAAATACTTTTTAGAAATCTGGCACCCAATTTGGAGAGAAAAAGGAGAGGGGAAAGAGCAGGAGAGGGACAGGGACTCAGAAAGAGAAAGGGAAGGAGAGTTTCCAAGTTTCTTTAGTACTTTGATTTCTTTGGCTACAAACTGGAATAGTATAAAATGCTTAAGAGATGAAAAAATATTCTATAAGGAGATAGCTAAAGATGATGTTAGTATAAAAACTAAATCTTGATAGCTACAAGAAATTTAATATCTTGAAACAAAATTATAGAAGTGGCTTCTATACCACTAGAAGATTATTATACATCATAAAATGCATAAATTTACAGAACAAGTCAATTGGCTATGAAATACAGAGAGGTAGAGTCCACCTTCAGGATAGTAAAAATAGATAATATCTTGGATTATCAGCTTAGACACAAAAGTCACCACCCTGTATTTTGAAATACTTAAGTAAAGGTACTTTTAAACTTTTCTTTTTAGTTTGCTCTTTTAATATCATGTGGACAGTAATGCTAAACATTTTAAGAAGAATCTCAGTTTTGTATAAACAAGACAAACAAATAATATTGATATAATCTGGTAAGAAATGTCTCATGTGGAAATAACTTTATTCTAGGAAATATCTAAAAAAACACAGAGGGTTTTTTTTTTAATGGAGTAAAGTAAAACAGAGAGTTTACTATAGATTGTCTTATTTTTCCCTTTTGGAATGCCAAAGAAAAATGTTAATTACAAGAAAAGATAGAGGTGTAAAGCTGTAGATAGGAGGTGTATCCTGAGCTCGCAGGATGAGGCTCAAAAAGTACAAGAGAGGGTAATGAAAAAGATAACCAGAATTAAAACATTGTTGTCTTTGATAGATATATTTTTCCTTTCTGAAAAAGTAAAAATGAAAGAGGACTACTAAAAGAAAACTAATGTCCTCTCTTGTCTCTAGATGAATGGAAGACTTATTCAAAAAGTATTAGTATTCAGACTTCAAATACAGGCTCACAAATGAAGACAAAAAAAGGGATTTTTTTCCCTTCTTAAACCGTAAAAAGTTTAAACTAAGTGCAAAATAACATTGCGAACAAAATTAAAAAGGCATCTTACAAGTATGTTCCTCTTGACAACTAGACTCTGCAGGGCCTTCAGAAATACTTGCAGTGTCCTCGGTGGTCTTTCCTCTTATCCATGCTGCCAAGCAGTAAGACCCAGAGTTGTCAGAGCAGGCAGTTTCTAAAATATCACACAGGGTATGACAAAGAAGATCCTTCCGTTCTTCCTCTAAAATTGACACAAGTTATAATGTTGTTATAAATATCATCCCTAAGAAAAGATTAAACATTGTATCTTGTCACAAATTGTAATACCATCAAAATGTATGTGTGTTTGTAAGTGTGTGTATGTGTCTTTATACAGGGAAGGCAAAGGAATCAAGAGGGGCTGGGGAAGGTTCTGTAGAGGGTGGGATTTTAGTTATAATTTAAAAGACACCAGAGAGTTCCATGGTCAGAGTTAAGGAAGAAGACTGTTCCAGGCATCAGAGACGGAGAAAATGTGTGGAGCAGAGAGATGGAGTGTCTTACGTGCGGAATGGTCCAAAGGCCAGTGTCACTGGGTTGAAGAGTACATACATGTTGTGGAACAAGGTGTATAAGAGTGGAAACGTAGCAGGGGGCTAAGCTATGAAGCACGTTGAATGTCAAATAGAGCATTTTGTATTTGGTCTTGGAGGCAATGGGAAGCCCTTAGAGTTTACCGAGTAGGGTGTGACATGATTGGACCTGAGCCATAGGGAAATCAATTGAATGGCTGAATGGAGAATGTACTGGAGTGGGGAGAGACTTGAGGAAGGCAGAACCACCAATAGGTTATTTCAGTAATCAAGATGTGAGGTGATGAGGGCCTGCACCAGAGTAAGGACAGTGTCAGAGGAGAGATGTGCAAAGGTAAAATAGACAGGCCTTGGCAACAGCTTGGATATAAAAGGAAAGAGTGAGAAATGACTCCTAGGTTGGGAGACGAGGAGGATGGTATTATCCTTAACAATAACTGGGAAGGTAAGAGGTGGGAAGGACTTGGGGGAAAGATAATGTGTTACATTTTGGATAAATAGGTTAAGATGTCTGCTGGACATCCAGTTAGAGATGTCTGAAAGGCAGCTGGAGATTCAAGATTGGAGTTCAGCAGAGAATTTGTGTCAGGATAGGTAGATTTGAGAATCATTAGCATAAAGGCAGCTAGGTGGTGCAATGGATAAAGTGCTGGACTTGGAGTCAGGGAGACCTGAGTTCAAATGTGGTCTCAGACACTTACTAGCTGCATGACCTTGGGCAAGTCACTTCACTTCTTTGGCTTCAGTTTCCTCATCTCTAAAATTAGCTAGAGAAGGAAATGGCAAATCACTTTAGTATCTTTGCCAAGAAAACCCCAAATGGGATCATGAAGCATTGGATATGACTGAACCAAGTGAACAACAAACATAAAGATGATAATTAAATCCATGGCAGCTGATAAGATCACCAAGTGAGGTAGGCAGTACAGAGAGAGAGTGGGGAGAAGAGAGCTCAGGACAGAATCCTGAGGGATATCTATGGCTGGGGGTATGATCTGGAGGAAGATCCATCAAAGGAAACAGAGAAGCAGTGGTCAGATAGGATGGAGGTAAAATAGGAGACGGCAGTGTTCCAAAAACTTAGAGAGAGAGACAGAGTATCAAGGAGGAGAGAGTGATCAACCGTGTCAAAGGCTGCAGAAAGATCAAGGAGAATAAGGACTGAGAAAAGGCCATATTACTGACTGGAGAGAGCAGTTTCGGTGGAATGATAAGGTCAGAAGACAGATTTTAAGAGTTTAAAAAGAGAGTGAGAGGGAAGAAAGTGGAAGCACCTATTGTATACAGCTTTTTTGAGGAGTTTGGCTACAAAGACAGAAGAGATGATGGCAGGGATGAAAGGGATCAAGTGAGGGTGTTTTCAGGATACAGGAGGCATGGGCATATTCGTAGATTTAAAATAAGTGAAAAAGTGGGGAATTACAGGGGCTAATCTTAGTTGGAGGAGACAGGATGGAATGGGATTGCCTGAACAAGTAAAGGGACAGGAGTGAAGGAGCTGAGAGTGGCAGAAGGCACTTGAGTAACAAAAGATGAGGAAGAGGGAAGAAGAAGCTGAGGGCAAATAGCCTCAATCTTTTCTGTAAAATATGAGACAAGGCTTTCAGCTGAGAGAGTACAAGGATGGGTAGCCATGGAAGGTTTGGAAGAGCAGCTCTGGAGAGTGGGATAATGAGTTGATAAGGGAGGTATAGTAGGTTTCATAACATAAATTTGCAGTGGACACAGTCAAAACAGTTTTGTGATTTTTCTTCACCTTTGTTCAGCAGCACATGTATAAGAGCGAAAGTGAGAAATGTAGAAATGATCTAAGGTTGAGGACTATATGGGTATAATTAATAATATGATAAGGGGACAAGTGAGAGAGGACCAGAGTTTTATTATTTTCTATTACTGGATTACATAGACATAGTTTTTTAAAAGGAAAAAAATTAGCTATTGTAGGATTAAAACACTTTTTTTCTGAGAAGTGCCATTTAGCACTGTCAGGGAGGAATGTAGGGAGTGAAAGAAGAAGGAAGGGATGAAAGGTGGAAATAAAGGAGGGAAGAAGTAATGAGAAGAGAAAATTTCTTTTCTGAAAAATTTTTTTAAATTAAGGGGACGAACAGGAATTTATGCAGTATTCTGAACTACAGGGAAATTACAGTATATATAAGCACACATTAGAAATACTACAAAATTATAAGTAGTCATTGGTTGATCACATTTTCAGATGTTTGTTTCCAAAACTGTTCATGTTTCATTTTCTACTTTTTTGCAGTGCTCTTAAAAAAAATAAGTTTAATCAACCAATCAACATACATTTATTTATTAAGTGCCTACTAGAGGATTCTGAGAGGCAAAGTTTAAACACCTGATACTGTGCCATGTGACAGCTCCAGCTACAGAAGGACTGCCAACTATAATGGTCTATAAGATTTAACCAAGATCTTTAGTTAAAACCATGGTATTTGGAAATCTAGGGGAAAAAAGTACTTTTATATTTGGATTCAGTGCATATTCATAATATACATACAGGGTAAAAAGAAAAGGATTTGAAGTGAATATCATATCCGTTTTAAAAGAATTATGTCTACACTAGTATTTTTTGCTTACCAAAAGTATGCATTACCATGTCTTACATAAAATTTTGTATTTATAGTCAAGTGGTAAAACAGCAATTAAATATGTGAATTTAGAAAAATTACACATTCCCTGCAATTCTTAATATAGTTTTACTGCTTTATAAATATTTTCAAATGAACGATTAAGTAGGAAGAGTTATAAATTAAGAAAAATCTACTTTAGAGTAAGAACTGGATTTTTTTTTTTGAGATCTCAGTGAAGGCTGAATGATGTGTGGAAAGAGTTCATGGTATATGCCTGTTGATTAGTAAAATGCATTTAAAATAACTTTTAAAAATCAAGATAAATAATTATCAAAAAAATAAAATAAAATACCTTGGCATTCTCTCCAAGAAGATTTTTCAGAAGTAAACAACAGCTTCTTCAAAAGAAATGCCTTTATGAAATTAAAGCAACAATTATTAGAATACATAATAAACACAGCAAAAACTCAAATGTTAATCTCTAATTTTAAAGTGTAAGTAATCTAACTCATTTCTCTGTTCAGATCTTTTAGTTATGCTTTAAAAGTTTCTGCTGAATTGAAATTTCCCCAATATGAAAACATACTTTTAGTTTTTTTATTTGAACTGATTTTACTAATAAAACGGATTTAAAGTTAAAGCTAATTTTAAAACTATCTATGTCATTGACAGAAGTTCAAAATATTATAATTGTATATTATATGTTTTATATATCATATAACCTATTATATTTTGTATATACATTATATATTTATATAATAGCTCATTCTTCTTCAAGCACGTTATTCCCAACAAATGGAAACAAATGAAGGCAAGAGGCTTAACAAGTATGTGTCTCCTTTGGACTTCTCCATCACAACCCCAGGAACCTCATCATCTGGCAAGATTTCATCAACCTTTGTACTCACACCACATCAATATTCTCTGCCTTTAGGATTCCTGATTGGAGAGTACAGTGAAGAGCTCCTCTTAAAATTTCCATTTAAGAAGGGTACCCAGGCCAGTCAAATATTCTCCACCCACTTTCCCTTTCAGCTTCCCTTTCTGTTGTTTTCTGAGGTAGATTATAAGCTCCTTGAGGGAAGGAATTTTCCTTTTTGTACTTGTATGCCAAGCATTTAACCCAGTGCATGGCATGTAGCAGGTACTTAATAAATTTTGATCAAATGACTAATCTATAATATAAATTGTTATTTGTCCATAGTAAGCAGACTGGTGCAGTGAAAAACATGCTAGTCTTGGAGTTAAAAACATTTGAGTCCTAATTCTACCTAGCTCTGTGACCAGGAGCAAGTCATGTCACCTTCCTGAGCCTCAGTTTCCCCTACCTCGTTGAGTTGCTATGAAACTCAAATAAGATAACAGTGACAAAGCACTTCACAAATTTGAAAGTGCTATATGAATAAATATTTGTTCCTATTATGGTGAAGTGTAGTATAAATGAATTTCTCTTCAGGTGTTCAAAGAAGTACATCTAAGGACACTGAAAGCACACATTATAAATCAGCAATTTTCCCCTTTACACTTACAAAACAACTTATACAAGTTCAAGCTGATTGAGACACCTTATGTCCATGATAAACAATTATACAGATTTTTGTAAACCAAAACATGAGAGGCAGTACGGCACAGGCATAATGGCTAGACGGCCTGCCTTGAAGGCAACCTGGATTGAAGATCTGCCTCTGATACTTTACTGGTTGTGTGACCCTAGACAAATGACTTAATTTCAATGGCTCAGGAAGCTTTTTAGAATTGTAAGTTACAGCTGAAATGCCCAGAGAGATACACATTGCTTGAAAAGTTCTCCAAACCAATGCAATCACAAGTCCACACTAACTCCTTACAAAAACAAGCAATCCCCAGATTTAACAGAGTCTTCTCACCATGCATTTTGTAAACCATCAGCAGAACATGTTACCTGAACAGGAGCAATAACTGCACAGGGGCCACCTTCAAATTGTTCCAATGCAGAACCTTCTGATTCACTAAACACAAAGCCTAAAGGTAAAAGTAAAAATAAATGATTAAAAATATCATTAAATATTTCTATGAGAAACATCATTCATCAGAGTAAGCAAAATATCTGTGGAGTAAATCGATTAGTGGAATAAAAGGTTGGAGACACATCAAATCTATTGATTAGGAAAGGAATATGTGACACAGCTATTGGTAGCTAAGTCTAAACAATCAGATAACTCTCTGTGCCTTGATTTTCAATTTGTAAAATGAAGAGAATAAATGAGATAACATATAACAAACTTTCGTCAACTTGGATTTTAAAAGATAATAAAAACTTAGGGTTTGGTATTGCTCTATTTTGTTTTCTTCACTGCTTAGAAGAAGAAAAGAGGCTTTTTGGTTACTTTTGACATAGTATTTTGACTTTTCAAAGCCTTCCGAGAAACACTAAAAGCCATACATCTATCTTTCAACACTGAACCATATTCCCTAAAATAAGAATGTAGAGTGGTGTTAAAGAATAATAATAATAGCTAGCATATACATAACACTTCATTGTTTGGAAATCTCTTTCTACATATTACCTCCTTTGGTCCTCATAACCCAGTGATGTAGATGCTGTTATTATTATTTCAATTTTATAGCTGAGGAAACTGAGACACATGTGTTAAGTAGGCCTCAGATCTTCCTGAGTTTGGCTTTAGGGTGATAATCTCTAAAGCTCACTGTTTCTTATTTAATTTACTCAATGCCCAACCAAAAACGGGCTGTGCAAAGAATATCAAGGGCAGAGGCCCTTGATTACCTTTATTTACAGCTATCATGGTTGATTCTTCTGGGGATTGCAAAGAGTTTGTTTTGTCTAACACAGAAATTCTATATAGGCACAACCTATATAACAATCAGGGATCTAATAAATGTGTATTGGTATTGGAATGGTTTCATTCCTTCCTAAAAAACTAATTCTAGAATGCAGTCTTCAGGATCTGTGATATAGTGAGACTGCCTGAAAGTGACCTTTTTAGGGCACAAAGAGCTGAATTGAAGAGTACGTGGGGCAGGGAGGTATAAGAAGGCTAGAAAGGTGGGCAGGAGGAGAGGTTATAATGGGCTTTGAAAGCCAAACAGAGGATTTTATAGTTGATCCTGGAGGTGACAAGGAGCTGTTAGTATTTATTTATTGAGGGGAGAAGTAACATGGACTTCAGGAACTGAACTTCAGGAAGCTCACTTTGACAGCTAAATGAAGGATGGACTAGAGTGGACAGAGACTTGTAGCAGGCAGCCCAACCAGTAGGCTACTGCTATAATCCAGATATGAGATGAGGGTCTACACTAGGGAGGCAATAGTGTCAAAGAAGAGACGGGGTCATATATGAGAGATGTGATAAAGGTAAAATAGACAGCTTTTTGCAACAGATTGAATATTGAGGTGTGAGGGAGAGGAAGTCAAGGATGACATCTAGGTTGCAAGCCTGAATGACTAGAAGGATGATGGTGCCCTCAACACTAATAAGGAAGTTAGGAAGAGGGGAGGGTTTGGGTTGAAAGATATGTTAAGTTTAAGATGCCTATAGGACATCCAGTTCAAGATGGCCTAGAGGAAGTTTGAGATCGAAGTCTGGAAGTTAGGAAAGAAGTTAGGGCTAAATAAGCAGATGTCAGAATCTTCACCATAGAGATGATAACAGAATCCATGAAAGTTGATAAGATTGCCAGCTGTGATCTAGTGGGAAATGAGAAGAGGATCTAGGATAGAGCCTTGGGGAACAACCAGTCAGTGGAGGTCAGCTGTTAGATAAAGATCCATTAATGGAGACTGAGAAGGAATAGTCAAATAGGAGAAGAACCAGGACAGAGTAGTGTCATGAAAACTTCTGAGTTATCAAGGAGAAGAGGCTGACCAACTCTGTGTCAAAAGCTACAGAGGTCAAGAAGGATGAAGAAAGACTGAGAGAAGGCCATTAGATTTGGCAAACAGATCACTGGTAATTTTGGAGAGAGCGGTGACTGTCAGACTTGGTTGATTAATTTATTAGTTTTGCTGAACTTCCTTTTTTTACCTCTCTTTTATTCTTTATTACAAGGAATAGCTCTTCGGGGAGGGAATATGTTTGGAAATTAAGACATCAGTAAAAACTTTAAACAAAAGAGCTGAGTTGCTGCCATATGAGGGTCATTTAAAGGAACTCAGGCTGTTTAGCTTGGAGAAAAAGAATCTTAAGAAGGACATAACAGTATTAAGGTACTGAAAACAGTCAATTAGAAGAGAGATCAGACTTGTTCTGCTTATCCCAGAATGTTGAACTAGGAGCAATGAGCAGAAGTTGAAAAGAGGCAAGTTTAGATTTGATTTAAATGACCTGTTTCAAACCATTAGAGGTATCTAAACCCCACTTTTTAAAAATTTTGTTGCTGCATTTTGTTTTTATATCCCAGGCATTTCACCACAATTCTCCCTCTCCCATTGAACTCTACCTTGTAACAGAAACATTTCAGCAAACTGATTAATACAACAACTATGCTGGATAGTACATAAGTATGTTCTGCATCTGAAGGCCCTCACTTCTCTACTAAGAGAGGTGAGAGAGTGTTTTAACATTAGTTTTTCCAGTGGGGGAAAAGGAAGAGTAATAAGTATTCATTAAGCACCTATTAGCTACCAGGAACTGTGCAAACAATTACCAAATATCATGTCACTTGATCCTCACAATGACCCTAGGAGGTAGGTACTACATAGCTACTAAGTGTGAGACCAGATATGAATTCATCTTCCTGATTCAAAGTTCAGCACTCTATTCACTGTACCACTTAGCTATTTCTTACACAAGTTGGTCATTACAACTACTTATATCTCATGGCCTTTTAATGGTGTTTTTCTTTACACTTTGTAGTTATTGGACGTTTTATTTTCTTGTTTTTATTTTGTTCTGCACTACTTCATACATGTCTTCCTGTGTTACAATTTAAGTTATACGAAAAAGAAGTATGTGACAGCATAAAACTTTTTCATAATCTTTAGGTGGGAAGACATGCCAAACATATGAAAAATAATATTTTCCCTTGAAAAATACACTAAGTGAACTGATATTGAATGAAGTAAGGAGTAGTAGGAATACAAAATTACTACAAGGTAAATGGGGAAAAACACAAAACAAAACTGAATGTTGCATAATTATGACAAAGTTTGATGCTTAAGAGAGGAGAAAATGATGCATATCTTCCCCCACCCCGACCTTTGCTGCAAATTGGGGGAATTTGTCAATAAATATCAAGCATCTACCCTTTGGCAAACATTGTTAATCCCTGAGGCATATAAAGAAATGCAAAAGGTAGTCCCTGCCCTCAAGGAGCTTATAGTCTAATGAGGGAGACAACATGCAATAATGTACAAATAAGCTACAGGATAAACTGGAAATAATCAACAGAAGAAAAACATACAGTAGCAACTCAAGGTCCTTCAACAGCCATGACTGCCCACTGAATAGTGGGAAAAACCATTGGAATTAGAGGAAGCAGACCTTCAATCAAATCATGCTTCTTTCACTTATCACCTTTGCCTGACTTTGGGTAAATCATTTAAACTATCTGGGCCCCAATTTTCTCACCTGTAAAATGAGGGAGTTTGACTACATGGGCTCTAAGATCCCTTCAAACTCTCTATCTATGATCCCTATTATCTTTCTCTAGTCATTCTCCACTTCAATTATGACTTTTCTAAAATATGGAATGCATTCACACAAATAAAATCAGATCTAAATAATTGGAAAAACATCAGTGGCTCATGGGTAGGCCGAGATAATATAATAAAAATGACAATCCTACCGAAGCTAATTTACTTATTCAGTGCCATACCAATCAAACTATCAAAAAATTATTTTATAGAGTTAGAAAAAATAATAACAAGATTCATTTGGAAAAACAAAAGGTCCAGCATATCACAGGAAGTAATGAAAAGAAATGCAGGAGAAGGTGGCCTAGTAATTCCAGATCTTAAATTGTATTATAAACCAGCAATCATCAAAACTGCTTGGTACTGGCTAAGAAATAGGGAGGTGGATCAGTAGAATAGGTTAAATATGCAAGACACAGTAGTCAATGACTATAGTAATCTATTATTTGATAAACCCAAAGACCCCAGCTTCTGGAACAAGAACCCACTCTTTGAAAAAAACTGCTGGGAAAACTGGAAAAGAGTATGGCAGAAACTAGGCATAGACCCAAATCTCACCCCATATACCAAAATAAAGTCAAAATGGGTTCAGGACTTAGATATAAAGGCTGATACCATAAGTAAACTGGGAGAACAAGGAATAGTTTACCTATCAGATCTATGGAGAACAGAAGAATTCATGACCAAACAGGAGATAGAGAACATTAGGAAAAGCAAAATGGATAATTCTGATTACATTAAATTGAAAAGTTTTTGCACAAAGAAAGCTAATGCAACTAAGATTAGAAGGAAGGTAGAAAATTGGGAAAGAATTTTTACAACCAGTCTTTCTGATAAAGGCCTCATTTCTAAAATATATAGAGAATTAAGACAAATTTATAAGAACACAAGCCATTCCCCAATTGATAAATGGTCAAAGGATATGAACAGACAGTTCTCAGATGAAGAAATTAAAGCCATCTATAGTCATATGAAAAAATGCTCTAAATCGTTACTGATTAGAGAAATGCAAATCAAAACAACTCTGAGGTACCACATCACACCTATCAGATTGGCTAACATGACAAAACAGGAAAATGATAAATGTTGGAGAGGATGTGGGAAAACTGGAACGCTAATACGTTGTTGGTGGAGTTGTGAAATAATCCAACCATTTTGGAGAACAATTTGGAACTATGCCCAAAGGGCTACAAAAATGTGCATACCCTTTGATCCAGCAATAGCACTTCTAGGGCTATATCCCAAAGAGATCAAACAAATAGGAAAAGGACCCATATGTACAAAAATATACATAGCAGCTCCTTTTGTGGTGGCAAAGAATTGGAAATTGAGAGGATGCCCATCAATTGGGGAATGGCTGAGCAAG